TTATCGCTATTTATTATTATTATATTTGTTCATCAGTGTATTTATTTCCTCGATTTTAATTTATTTCTTGAATTGTAAATGCTTAATATTTGAGAAATCTGTTTCACTTTCTGCACATTGTAAATTTACATAGAAGCACATTCCAATTTCATGGCATACTTTCGCCATCTAGTGTTGAAAAGCATATATTATTATTGAACTATAAGTTGGATCTCCCTTCAAAGTAAAAAACCTACCAAAACGACTATGAATCGATATTTGTAAGCATTGCTTTTGCTTTCTTTATTGGAAACTGAATGTATGGTAAGACAAAGTGAACAATGAGATCAAAAAAATGCAATGCAACTGTACTGTACATTTTTCTTCTGAACCAGTAACAGCTGAATGCAACCAGGAAGTGACACTGAGCAAAGATGCAACATGATTCGCTGAAATGACTGTCAGATTCTGCTTGGCAAAGGGTGCCACAAGAAGAGTGCAACAAAAATCAAAAATCCACTTTTGTCAAGATGTCTTTTTTTAAATATAGATATTAAACTGCCTTCTGTGCACACACTTTGGAGTGTGCATATAGTATGTGCCTAAATGTATATGAATCCATAAAAGTATACGAGTACTATGTTTTGTGGTAGGACAGTATTATGTGGATGGTGTCTAATTTATTATACAGTACAATTATTTTCATAGGAGGTTCCTGATGACTGTTAAAATACCGTTGTCTCAGTAGCTGTAATCTCAGAGTCAGGTTTTCAAATATCACGACTGAGATTAAAAAGCCTGGTGTTTATTTTAACTCTTGCTAGCATGGAGAGGAAAACAAAAAAAGGAATTAATTAAACAACGTTTCCGGTTTTATCTTAAACTGCTTTCAAGCCTTAACATCTCAACCAGTCTTATAATATTCTTGTAACGCTTGGGGCAGATTTTGAATAGTAGCTATCTCAAGAATCGAGCTGTCTACCATTCGGATTCAATCATTAAATGCAACAACAACAAAACAAAAGGAAAAAAAACAAATGAAAACATAGACAAATGGTAGTTGTTGGCTAATCAGTTATTTGTTTGCATCAATTGCACTTTTGTATTTTAATTATTTTGTGTTTTAGTACACCACACTGCCCTGGACTTTAACAAAAAAGGAGGGAATTTGGACACTGTAATCGTATCAAAGTACATGTTAAAATGTTATATTAAATTAATCCTACAAGAAAATCTTTATTTGAGCAATACATTTTCATTTCTGCAAAAAGAAGTCAAAGACATGTAGCCTAGGACATTTTGAGAGAGAAAAAATGTAACAGCAAATGAGCCAAATTACCGAAAAAAAGGACCCTATTTTATCCAAAAACTCAATGTTGTATCGAACGTTAATCTTAAAGTGAATTGAATCAAATTCTTTAGACTTAATCCTTTATTTATAATTTATTATATTTAATTCCTATACCACACATTGTTTGCTCAGGAAGTTTTGTGAATGATATTTATTTTTTCCCTGTTAGTATTTTGATGTTTTGTAATGTGAAATGCTTTTTGTGGAACGATATTAGTAAGATATGAAATTGTATTGTATTTTCTTTTACATTAAAATGTAATGCTTTTTTCAGTTTAAGTAGTTTGTAAATTGAAACTTCCTATTACTTTTACTATTTCATAATAAACAGATATGCGCTGTGTTGTACAGTTTGTGTATGGTAGAAATAAACTTTTCAAATGGTTGTGTGTTTTTCTCAAAGCTTCTGATGTTCACTGTGCGTCAAACGTAAACCCGGTTACCCCAGAAGGGTCTACCTTTTCCTTTGGCATTAGCGTCACCTAGTGTTAAATATGAGGTATTACATCTAGGATAACAAGGAGTGGTTAATGGAGTCAGGATACTAAAAGCTGCCGGGGTTAGACATCAAAGTAAAAAAGGTCTAAGATGCTGAACATGTAATAGTTACGTCTCACCTTCCTTTTATCTTTAAACTGACCAGAAAATACTTAAAATAAAAAATATATATAATGCACACATTACACAATCATCTTCAATGCATTTAGTTTAGGGCTGCAGTGATTATTTATATATATATATATATATATATATATATATATATATATATATATATATATATATATATATATATATATATATATATATATATAGATAAACTAATGATTATTTAAATGATCCCATTATTTTTGTCAAACAGTTCAAAGCCCTAGGATATTTAGTGTACTATCATTTAAGACAAGGAAAAGCAAAATATCCCAACAACTACAGCTAATGCTGGGTTATTTTACTTATAGATAACATAAATATCTAATGATTAATAAAAAAACTGATAACATTTCTGTTAATTGAATAATTGTACAATTTGCCCATGTACAATGACAGGTAACAAAATAAAAAAGTTAGACAGCTTTTTAAAAAAACGTCCCACAACAGTAGTTACTGTAAGAAATAAACATATTCAAAGATGATCGTACTTTAGCTCATGTGCCCACTCATTAACTTAAGTGCATCAATATACCAATGATGAAATAAAAGGCAGACCACATTTGGTAAACACATGATCAATAGAAGTATCAAATGCACACCAAAAGCAGGAGGCTCATGAAACTGATGTAAGCTTTGAACTCTGAAACCTTTTCCAATAAATCAAAGGGAGTCAAACCAGATTAAAATATACGTCTAAATCCATTTGTGATCATAATAAGTAATCTTGCTACCCCAATTCACAGTGATTCCAATGATGTGCTGGTTCAGATATATTGGTAAATGTACTCTGTATCGTTGTATTCAATGACTTTCATTTACGTGTGGAATTAGAGTCAGAATATGCCAGGCCCAACTGAAACAAAGGCAGCATTTCACCTAAATAATAGTTTAATTTGATATGTTGTAACAGCTCAGCATTCACAGAAAGAGGCTCTTGGCTCACACTCAAAACCACCACCAACAGAATGTATGGCATGCTGCAAGGGGCCATGGTTTCCTGTATTGTATATGCTGTGAGTGTGTGTGTGGACCACAGAATGTATATATGTGTGTGTAGAGTGACAGCGCGGCGGTTCAAATATATAAAGAAGCTTGGTGTCCACATACACTCTGCCCTCAGCTAACCTTGCTGTAGTCAACACTGTCTGTTTACATTTGTCTAATGATACAGACAGCTAAAAATAATTGGTTTCATAGAAATAATATTAGAAGAAAGCATAGCCAAATATATCATCTTGAGTTTACTTTAAAGACATATATATATTGAGGACAGTGGGGTCATGAGGAGGAGTTTGCATTATACAGTAATAGAAGTTACACATATCCATCTATACTATATTAGGACAAATAAATATAGCATTTAATAGTTATAACAAAAATAAATTTCTCCATTAGCTTTGTATTCTTGACAGTGTGGATGAAGTGCATGATAAAATATAGGGGAGGTTAGACTACTAATTTATAAATCCCTGGCTTCATATATCACATACTAATTATGACGCTAAACACAGGCCTTACTTGGAGTGGAGATGCGGTCTTGCCTGCTATGACCCTGCATGACCCGACTAATGATTCCAGAAATAGGTGCAGCATTCAATTATTTAAAAACTAGGATGGACCCATGAAACAGTCTGCACTCATGGTCTTGTGAGTAGGACTGAATTTGTCAATAAAACCACGACTAAGGAACCAATATGTTTAACTCTCGATATCAAACTGCAGGAGAAAGGTCTTGATCTGTATACATTACTCATTTACTATCCATGCTATAAATGAACAAATATAGGCAGATATTCAGGATTCAGAAGTCTGAGCAAAGCCAGGTCATTTTCCCCAAACTTATTGAGTTTGTACACTCAAAATCCTACTCTAAAACAAGTCATCTGCAGTTCCATCAGAGGATGAGGTGAAGCGAGGTCAGAAAACCAGCTGCAGACTAAATTTAAAACCTTTCCTTTAGGGAACTGTGTGAGGTTACAAGTAGGGTGACATTTTCCAGGATCTTCCAATGTTGTTAAAGCAAATGATCATAAACCAGCTTTTCACATCAATGTGGCAAGTTATACTATTCCTGAACTATATTTATGTGCCTGTATGCTGTATGCATTTACTTAACTTATATTGTATATAGACATGCATGGTCTCATAAGATAAGGTAAGGCTTTAGTGATCCATAGATGAGAAACTTGGTTGTCGCAGCAGAAGGGTATACTAAACAAAAATACTATCTTAAAAAAAAGAGCACTTAAACACAAAATTACAAAAGCAACAGTGGTGTGGTGTGATGGATAGCAACACAGTGAGATAAATGTATATTGTAATAAAGTATAATAATTAAGTAAAGCATATGGCAGCCGAACCTATCTTTAAATGCCTGCAAGAAAATATGTCAAACTAGATTGTCTTGCAGTGGAAAATTACAACATAAACTGCACAAAGTAAAGCCAGATTAAATCTTTTTTTCTGTAATGGATGTACTTATCTCTGTAGTGCAGTACACTACCTCATTAAAAATAATAATTGCCTACTGCTCCTGAACACGTTTGATATTAAAAGTGCTGTAAATGTAAAGCTACAAGTAGAAAGTTATTTGATACAGTACAAAATACAAAAATGTATTGATTCTAGCGTATACTTTTGTATTTCATAAATATCCACTTGTAGACACAAGTGGATATTTATGAAATACAAAAGTAACGCTAGAATCAATACATTTTTATTTCCATACTTTCTTCCAATCTGACCACATCTGCTCTGTGTTGGATGTATTTGTTGTGCATTACCCCCACAATACTATTTTTTTTTATTAAAACACTATTTATATGGTGTGTATCTACATACAACAGTGAAACAATAACTCAATAAGTAGAAGTTTTTGCATTCAAAATCTTGCTTCAGTAAAACAATACCAAAATATACTTAAAAGTCACTAAAATAAAAGTAGGCTATTCATCAATTTGTATAGATAGATAGGCCTAGATAACTTTGAGCAACAGTGCCTCCCTCCACAGACAACATGTCAAACCACGTGACCTGTGTTTACATCCTCTGCTCAGCTGTTTCTTTCTTCTTCCACTTCGACACAGCAGCTTGCAGTTTACTTTACACTTTCATCCCAACAAGCTAACTATTGCGCACAGTTACCCCGCAGTCAGCCTCTGAAAGAAGACTGCATGAAAGTCGCTGTCTGACAGTCGCATTGTACACAGCATCCACTTACAAGGAGTGAGTTAATGCGACACGACATTGTGAGTATTTTTCAATGTATTTCAAGCAAACTAACGAGTGTGCTTTTGAGTTCGCCGGTTTGTGTTGTTGACAGCGTAATATTTGAGTTGGGTGTATTAAAAGTGACCCACTATACTTGTTTTTTTGGCGTGTTTGCTCGCTGGCAGGATAAAGAGGTGAGCTTACCTAACCTGCTTTGTCTCTGTTTTGATGATGGCGCACTCAGGCCCTCTAAAGCTAAAGCTAGCCAGGTTCATTACAAACTCATATGGCGTTGTCCCGACACAATTTAACTTAAAAACAGTCACATTTAAACCTATTGTTTCACGTGTCAGTCGGTGCAATGTATGCACAGATGACAGTGTGTTTGCGTCTTTTGTTTCGATTTGTCTCCGGGCTTTTAGTAGACTTTTTTTTCTCGGTCAATAACGTTTTCTGTAACATGCGGAAGAAGCTGTGTTATCTTATCTTATCGGTGTTTTCCTTAAAGTGATTTGGTGAAACAAGCAGGGATATTCTAGCATCTGTTTTGACAAATCGGTTTGGATTGTCGCTGTTTAAAGATTGAGGTTAATCGCAATGCAGAGAGAGAGAAGCAGAAACTGCGATTATGGACGACAAGTGGGAACAATAGCGGGACAAACACACTCAGTTTTTTTATTGTGTCAGCTCGTGTAATGGATGCTCGCTTTGCCATATATTTCCCCACATATGTGACAGGAAACAGCCGACATTAATAGCGCTTGAAAACATTTCGTAAAAACTGTTGTTGTTTTGCTCCGTCGTCACACGCAGTGCGAAGAAAGCGTCCCGGCAGCTGATTGGCTGACGGGCTGCTGTCTGTGTGGCAACCCCAACACGTGACCACGTAGCGAACTGATTGGCTTCATCAGGTGTCAGTTATGGGATCCACTTGATGTTGAAAATGAAAACATCTTTATAAAGTAAAGCAACATCCCTGCCACAGGAGAAACTTTATTTGAGTTTCTTCTCAGAGAAATTCAACTATTTTAGTGCTTCTCAAAGTGGGGTCTGTGGCACAACAGTGTACAGCGGCTCATAAATGTTTAGATCCATTTATTTAAGTTGCCAAGACAATTATTATTTAATCTAACACATCTTTAACTTATGTATCTTCTATCTGTAATCAATGTATAGTGTGTTGTTCTTTCAATTACCTAAGTGTAAACAATAGGCTTTGTAGTATTATTCATACACATTGGGGTCCTCTTTATATTATGATCTTGTAAACAGATTTGCGTTATAAAAATGAGAATCTCTGCCTTAGAGAATAATGCACACACTATTTTACAGTTCACTAAACAGCTAAAAAGACAAGGGGTCTTTATAACTACTGTCTGAATTGATAATTTGCAGATTATTTTCTTGTTTGGTCTTCAAACTGTCCAAAATGTAAAGGATAAATTATAGACTGGGATTTATTGGCAGAGATTATATATAAAACGCATAAGTATGTTTCTTTGTGTGTAATCACCCTAAACTATAATAGTTGTTTATTCGTTTAGATTAAGACCTCCATATTTACATAGAAAGCAGCTCCTCTTAACGGTTACCACCATGTTGTTTTTCTACAGCCCAGAGCGACAGACCAAACACTGATTCTAGAGAAGGGCTCTCACATTTTCTGTAACTTGGAGGCCAACGTAGGTTTTCTGACACGTCGGTAAAAAAGGAGTATTTAGCAGATAGGTTATCAGTTGGTTGCAATCCGCAGCCTCACCACTAGATGTCACTTAAACACACACATTCAGTAATTCAACTGAAACACAAGGAAAAATAAAACTGCAGATCCCCATAACTGAAAAAGGTCAAACTATTATTTGTGAAGCATCTAAATGATAGCAAATCTTAAAGATAAGAGATGCAACCATTAATGTTTAAATAATCTATAGTAAGAGTAACTGTTATTATCTTTCCAAAACATATTTAATTCAATATAAAGACAAAGAAAAGCAGCACACATTCCAGAAGGTAAAACCAATATAGTTTTGCTGTACGCACACGAGAAGCATGAATTGAATCAAAATGTAAGCCATGCAAGATGCAAACAAGTGCAGGTTCACTATAGTTGCCACACGCAGGGAAATACACTTTTTCTTGAGCTAAACAATTCTGTCACATTTATCCCCAAACCTGCAGAAGAGAATAAGAAAAAACAACAGCAGTTCTTCTCACTGTTTTAAATGTATGTTGTGACACACTCCCACACGCACGCGGTTCCTGTTGTTAGTGTGGTACAAGAAACGCCTCAACGGTCGCATCCTCTGGCGGTTTTTAGGCTAATTATCTCAGAGTCCAGTGGTCAGTTGTATGAATAGAGATGCGAATATATTTCTATTCAGCATCATAAGATCCCTAACACAATGGCTGGGGGTGGAGTCATAGGAGAATGTATTTTGTTACCAAATCAAAAGGTTTTATCCACTGCTGAGCATGTTCAGAGGTTTTCTCAGCAGTTTCTCATATTCCAGACAGATGGTACTAAACAAGGCGTTGTAATAGCGAGTGACTCATTAGACTCAGGGACATCCTGTGTATCTTTAGATATAAAAGTGCTGATCTGAATATACCGCTAATCTTGCCCAAAATCGTACAACTATAGAGAAACACATACAATAAATGGCAAATATTTTTTTTAGAAAGTTGAAATCGGTCTTTGAATATTAAAAAGAAAAGTCCATCCGTCTCACAAGACTAACTGACTTGTCTGATAATAGATACATGTTGCATTTTAATAGAAGTAAAAACATAGACCAGGGTCATGGGGGTCCAAAAACTGATATAAGCACAAACTTTCTGCAGTGACCATCTGCCCCTTGGAATATATGCAAGAGGAATTATGCGTACAATGTTTCCTCTGGGGTACAGACTAGCGGTCAGTAGGTTGTTTACATTTAAAGGATGTATCCTCTGAGGACCAAACCCTTGTTTAGCAAACAGATTTTGAGAAACTATTAAAAATGGGATATTTTGTTATAACAGTGGTGTTAGAAAAAAGGTCATTGGGTGACCAAAAATAATTAGGATTCATCGTCAGCTTTCAATGTAATTCCACAAAGATTCAATGGGATTGGTTCATCAGTTTGAGTTATTTTTTGTGAAAGAAAGTGTTCAAGTGGATGGTTTGACCCGCTGGTGGCTGAAAATATGTACAAATTAAATTACAAAGGTCCAATTTATGTTGGTTTAGAATTACAATATAATGTACAGGGGATTGAGATCAAAATCTCAAATCACATTTCCTTTTTAGTGGCTTCTTTGCACAAAGGAATACTCTGGTGTGTAAGACTTCAAAAACATCATTCAACTCAGGTACCTTTGCAGCGGAACAAGCGCTTCGATGTAATTTGCATTCTGTAGAGCACATTTTCTCACATGTTGTATTAATAATACATTTGACATTGCAGAGAAAAGGGTTCCAGTATGTATTTTCCATAGAGCCAGATCAAATTAATTGCACATTTTCAAGTATTTTATCTGATGTAGTATATCCTTTAATGCGAACATAACATGCTGGCATTTTTGTGCAGTAAATATAATACAAATCATTCACCCACTGGCATCAAGAAATGTACATTTAAAAAGGCAGGATTTGTATATGACAAGTTATTATAAAAACATTTGGTAACCATTCATCAAAATGATTAATTTGTTATGTCTTTTCTAGCTTTAAGCACAAATAATTACTTATTAGCTGTCAGTCCATTACAAATGCTAATGTGACACTTCTGACTGCAGGTTTAAGTCAAGATTTATTGATGAATGTGTATTTTTCTTTTTTTGAAAATATGTTTTGGGCCAGAGTGAAAGAGGGAGACAGAGGGGAGGACATTGCCTGCAATGTTTGGCCGGCTAGGGATTCTAACCGCCTTGCTGTGGTCACTGTCTATGGGCTAACAGCTCTAGCTAGCTATCCGGCAGCCCGAATATGTGATTATTTTTGTCAAAAAAGAATAATATTGTTCTGGCGTTTTGCCACAGAGGCATGGATGTCACCTTCTTTGTTGCCAGAGCTGTTAAAACGTCTGACTTTACACTTCAGGGGTTGGTAACCATGAGGATTATCAGTTTCCCTGCCTGTTGATCAGCAGTGTGTTCATGCCACTGTGCTGCATAGACAGGCCTCATGTGTTTGGTTACAGCTCTAGAGTTGATCTAGTGTTGACGGAGGATCTATTACTTGTTTCGTCATCCTGCCGGTTCAGAAAGTTGTCCCAAGCCGGGTCACGGCAGCCAGTCATGACCTGACATGGTGTCAATGCACTTTCCATACACACCAGGGATCAACTCAGGACTTTCAGTGAGTGTTTACCAGTAGATTTTTCTCTCAGTGGTGAAGTAGCTTCACTATAGAACAAACGTTATTGCCTTATGGTCCTTTTTGTATTTGTCTTAAAAGGAGTGGGTGATGGATGAGTTCTGTTTCGAGAGTCTGGATTATCATTGGAAAGATTGTACAGTGCCTGAAAGCAATTTGCTTGTCAAATACCTCGCCTATATAATTTTCCGGATATTATTTCCACTCAAAGGACTATGCATTACAGAGAGGGTAGAGGGGAAAACTAGAATAAAAAAATACATTGCCACACAATCAGTGATGGTGAGCGAATCAATGATTAGTTTTGCCTGTGAGAAAGAGCTGAGAGAAAATGACCTTACGAGGCCTCGCGCTACAAAGTCACCTCTGAATTTAATCTTTATTAGCTGAGTCAGATGTGGAGATGCTGAGGAGGCAGAGAGGGAATTCAAGTCTCCCTCGGCTGAATCTCCAGCTTTTACTCCGAGCCAGTGTAGGGTATTTCAGTCAACAAAACATCTATAAAATGTTTAATTACCGCCCTGTTGTAGGGCTTTCCTCTTTATTGCTACGACGTGGTATTTAATAGTACTACACAGAGAAGCCAGTAGCACAGTACTCACAAGTAACTTTCAGATCAGCCTTTAAGTGACCACGTTAAGTCAAGCATATCATTCTTGGCATTTAAAGGTCCCATGTCATGCTTTTCCGGTTATTACCCGTCCGCTTGTGTGTTATGTAGCTTTCTATGCATGTAAACGGTTTGCAAAGTCACAAACCCTCAAAGTACACCCTGTAGCGAGTAAAACCTGTCTATGATGCCCCTGAACGCCTCGTTGGAGATTTCTCTTTTTCCATTTTTTCTTCCTGGTCATAGTGACGTAACGGTCATAGTGACGTAACGGCTCCGGATTGGTCAGCTCCTCACACACACATACACACACACACACTCACTCACTCACTCAGCCTTATCTTTTATCAGCCGCGGCTCCGCAGATTGCAGCCAGGCTGTGAGTGTGTGTGCTCAGGCTGAGTTCCGCGGTGTCTCGCAGACCCCACGTAGCAACCAGGAAACGACACCAGTAATCAAGCTCACACTGTCCACTCCTCGAGCGGAGCAGCGAGCCCCGCAACGTCCCGCCACCACACGCAGCATTCTAATCTGTTTGTCATTACTGGTGTCATTTTGTGGTTGCTAACGCCATTGCAACACAAACACTGATGTTCCGCTGTAACGGTGGTGGACTCATCAGAACAGAGTGGGCGAGCTGACCAATCAAAGCACACTGGGCTCATAGGGAGAGGGGGAGAGGGGGGGGGGGGGGGGGGGGGGGGGGGGGGGGGGACCGGGGCTCCAACAAGGCGTGTAGGACAGAGAGTGAAGACACATACTATACAGAGATGCTGTATGAGAAACCAATGTGATTTTGGAACATTGAACAATGTAAATTAGGGATGCACGATATTGGTTTTTTGAAACCGATAACTTCCTGCTTCTCAAGACCGATAATACAAAAAAGTTACGCCACTAATTATTTTAACGCGATTAACGCATGTGTATTTTTTTTCCTCGGCCGCCCCGTAGTTTCAGAGCGCATCGAGTTTAAAATACCATCTACAAGCTGATGCTGACAGCCCCGCTCCTGCCGCCCGCTTGTGGCAGACCACACTTCCACGCTCACCGGCAGGCACCGACTGGCCATCTGGAGGACTGGGAGGGTGTGTGTATGTGTGGCCCGAGCGAGCGAGAGAGACCTTACGTTTATTGTTGTTGTTAGCATCTGGTGCTAGCTAGCTGCGCTAACGGATATAAGGAGCTGTTTAAATGAAAACAGAGGAGCGACATTTCGCCACAACTGCGCCGAGCACTTGACTTTATGCAGGAAGCCAGACAGTGGGACATTGTACGAAAAGTCAGCACACTCAGCACGGATAGTGCGCAACATGATTGCAGCGTCCAGGCAGCTCCGGTTCGAGCATATGCCTTGAGTTGCACATAGCTCCAACGTCCATACCACCGACGACATGTTTGTTTACTGTCCTGGCTTCACGAGTTAGGGAGCGCTGGATTTGTGAAAAACTCCCCTCTTCCTAAACCACTAATACCACAGTACTGGCAAAACGGGAGGAGCCGAGTGAAAAACAAGCGCCCCTCATCCCAATCCACCCACACCGCAGTATTTTTTCTTTTTTTTTACCCAAAAAATATATTGTATATTATCGGGGCTATTAATACTGGTATCGGGTTTATCGGGATGACGTCATAATTCCTAATATCGGACCGATAATTATCGTGCATCCCTAATGTAAATCTATTCTAGTAGACCTCAACAATGGAATTATGATCAGTAGAAATGGCCATGTCATGGGACCTTTAAGTAAATCAATTAAACTAATCGTTTTAACTCTAATAATTTAAACCTTGTGTACAGTATGCTCCACATTACACTGTGCATGTAAGCATGACGGATGTAGCCTTTTCACAACACACATTTTGATTTGTACTTGCAGGAAAATCACAGGTGTAACAAATTGCATTAATGTCGGTTCTGTTTCATAAAGCCATGCTGGTGAGCAAGCAATATGTTTGTTATGAAAAAGGCCTCTGAAACAACTGCTATATAGAACTGTGTGTTTGGAGCATTATCTCTTTTACAGTGGAGTTAATGCGATAAGCAAAATAGTCAAGGCTTTCTATATTAGGCGACAAATTACATTATCAAGTTAAAATGCCTTGATATTGTATTTTTGGATGTTTCCTAACTTGTTGTGAGTACATATCGTTGGCTTTAAAATAGATAATGCTAAAGTTTTCTTCATCTGGAAAACCACAAAGTCTGTTTCTCTCAAAGTTGTTAATTCTTCATGAAAAAGACAAATTTGGTTGTGGGAGAGAAATCAATCTTTACTATGAGAACCTTAAGTCAATCTTTACTCTATCGCCTAGCAGACATGTTGCCATAACACGTGTATGTCCTTTTTCTCAGGTCACTCTCTGGACATGACCGCCGTCTGAACCGCCGTCTGAGGAGTAATAGCGGGAGCATCCTTTAGGTCAGCCATTCATCTCCATGCACCTCTGAGGAGGAACCACTGACCCTCACTACGAGTTTGGCCCCTTGAGTTTCTCTTCTCTTTTAACCATGGGGGGAGCCGTGAGCGCGGGCGAGGACAATGACGACCTTATAGATAATCTGAAGGAGGCCCAGTACATTCGCACAGATAAAGTTGAACAGGCTTTTCGCGCCATAGACCGCGGTGACTACTATCTGGACGGCTACAGGGACAATGCCTACAAAGACTTGGCGTGGAAGCATGGCAACATCCACCTGTCCGCTCCCTGTATATACTCCGAGGTGATGGAGGCCCTCAAACTGCAGCCGGGACTTTCTTTCCTCAATCTGGGCAGTGGGACTGGCTACCTGAGCACAATGGTTGGCCTCATCATAGGTGAACATTATGTACCCAGCTGTGTTTTCCCATGAGTGGGGAGAGCTCAGATGTCCTGTAGAATCTAGGTTAAACAAATATTTCAAAAAGGTACACTGTGTGCCTGCTGTTCAGCATCAGTGATTATAGGACTGCAAAGACTTTTCTGTATTTATCCACAGATTTCTTTCCTGATTTAGTCTAGACTCGATTTACTTTATGGATTCCATTGTCGTCACAGCAGCAAAGGGCATTGCACATGAATTAAAAATAGCCTTGGAAATTAAACACAAAACCGTAAATATATGCACACCAACAGTGAATGATGTATATCTAAAAAGTGTCTCAATTAAATACACAGTATAAATATACAGAATAAGTTAGTATACACTATGGTAGAGATTTGGATCGTAGTTTGTATAGCCGTCCGCGACTACAAATCATAAGATTTTGTAAACTAATCAATTAGTGGATTTAATATGCAATAACATATTTAAAAGTACTTCTTAAAATCTTTAGTTCTTAAGTTTCATAACTTTCTTGGAAAAAAGTCATTTAGCATGAAAAAAATATGAACAGAAGAAAAAAAATCACAGTGGACAAAAAACGAAATAACCAATTATTTGACTTATTGGTCTCCCTAATTGTTTGGTCTGTAAATATGGGGGGAAAGCAGTACAATATGCACTTAAAGTCCAAAGGACCCTTTACCAACTGCTTGTTTTGCCAAAAAGCCAAACCTCAAGTATATTCAGTTTATAATCACAAAACAAACACAGAAAAACTGAATAAAATCAGTCAATACAATCAATTGGGCATTTTTGTTAGAAACAAATTAAAAGATGGCACAAACCAGGCACATTAATTTCTTCAATCACATTGAAGAACATTAATTTCTTCAGTCAAGAAAATTGAATTGTTTCAGCTCTACGTGAAATCACAATGGGTAGTAGGTAATGCTGGGTTTGTTATGATTGTTTTAAAAGCAAATATGTTTCCTGTTGTGTTTTCTTCCAAGGGCCATTCGGTGTGAACCATGGAGTTGAGCTCCATACAGACGTGGTTGAATATGCCAGAGAGAAACTGGAGGATTTCATAAAAAATAGTGACAGCTTTGATAAGTAAGTACATGCAAACTGAAACCACAGTGACAACAGTAAGAGATGTAATTAAGTTTATTTTCTTCTGGTCTACAAGTCTTGCAAATTAACTACATTTCCTCTCTAATTCTACTCATCTAAGCTTCATAATTCTACCACAGATCACTAATGTGATGATGTGCTCAATAGATATAAAAGAAAACCTTTGTTTCCATTGTTGTTTTATATAATGTTTCCACTTAACTTGTTATTTTTCCAAAGGTTTGAGTTCTGTGAACCCGTCTTTGTGGTGGGGAATTGCCTTGAAATCTCAGCAGATAGTCACCAATACGATCGCATCTATTGTGGTGCAGGAGTGCAGAAAGACCATGAAAATTACATGAAAGTACTGCTCAAAATTGGAGGCATTCTGGTGATGCCTATAGAGGATCAGGTAAGTGCTACAAGCCATCAGAATGATACAGAACCAACACATTATGATTGCTAATCAAAATGCTAACACATGAAGGAATACACAGTAAAAATAGCATTGACCTACAAGACTTCTTATGCAACTTTCACATGCATTATTGAGCCACTCCTGCCCCTGGATGTGAGCGGCCGGGCAAGGAGCACACACACAGGGATGTATGAATACATGTATTATTTAAAATGGTCGAGGTTTGACTGTGGACAGACTGGGGCATGCACTGTAAGAGAGCATTCAGAATTATTTGGGAAGTTGGTGGAGAAAATGGTTTTCAAGTCCTTCATTTCTAGTAAGGAGGGTAAAGATCATGACAGATTCATGGTTTAAGATTTTTGTCAATTTAAAAAGGAATCTGAAGTGCAGCAAAGCTTGGCTCAGATTAGATATTGTGACCCGTGATGTGGATATTTGGATTATGTTGTCATTTTAGGCATCAGTGCACTTTAAAGTGAGTTCAAAGAGTGCAATATACTTTTTTTTAAAATGCAATATTATACTGTGTGTTTTAAAGAAGGTGAAAGGCTTTAAGAATGAAAACAGCCTGCACACACTTTTGAATCAGAATGCAGGAAATTATTACGCATAATTTAGATCAGAGATCCTTGCGAGATCTAAACGGCATGAAAGTACTACAGCCTATATCAAAATGTGCACTAATGCGAATAATTTTCAAAACACGTATTTTGTCTTCCTCTTTCTTGTGGTCTTTCATCAGCACCAAGTAGGCATTCTTGGCCCTTACAAAAAAAAAGATCTCAAGAGTGGACAAACATGATAGCTCCAGTACTGGGAAAATAGCTTTTTGAAAATACCAACTTCACGATTGAATTTCTTCAAAGACATGGCTCGGTACGAGAAAGCAGCATTAAGTAGCAAGCTTTGTCATCTGTACCTCCATATTGTTTGGTATATATAATGAAGTGCATACATATATGTCATCCTAAACATACTCTATCTTTGAGATTATGCTGGTAGGTGCTCTCAAAGCCTGAAAGGATGGACTGCCCTTAGTAGAAAGTATTAACATGTGCACTTTTGCTGTATTGAAAGAAAAAGTACTTGCATAGAGAATGAATGAACTACATTCAAGAGGGCTATGAATGGATGAACTATACATTCACCTTGAAGGCATCTTCAGCTTTAATGGACTTGTTGTTCCCTTGACAACATTACAACACCCCCTTATTTCCATACATGAAGAGTCCATGGCCTCGTGTGTTTTGATAACCGTGGACTGGTAATTGCTTGTTATGCCCTGAGCCCCCAGATATCTGTCATCTACGGAGTGCAAAGTCTCACATATCCAACTTCGAACACCCGCAGACATCTTGAATTAATCAGTCAATTGGCTAAAAGTAGGTCAGATTCTGACAATAATTATTAATAATAATAATTATCATTAGTTTCTATAGTTTTTCTAACATCAGACATTTTTCAATACTCTTAATACCGTTGTAGCTTTTCCGTTTTTATAAAATGTTAAGCATTTTTATTATATTTTTTACCCATTTTCTGATATGAGCAGCAAGGTTTGAGCGAGGGGAAACACATTTTTTAAATGATGGTTATAATAATATTTGTTATATGATTTTGCGTTAATTTGTTAGTATTTTGCATTGTCTAATATTTAAAGTTGCTGGATGAGACAAAAAAACTCACAAAAGTCTTGTGATATAAATGTACCTTTGCTTTGATAAAGAAACGTATCGCCCACCCTTAGTGTGTAGTAGTTTAGGGTTAGGGTTAGTTTTGAGATTGCCTTCTTGTTGATGCTCAGATTATCTGTGAGATTGTTCTATGAGCCCTTTGGCAGTAATTGGCTTCCGTACAAAGCAAGTGTGGAAATGAAGTTCATTTTGAATGCACCTATTTAACACTGCAGCATGTATGCGGATGTTAAGAGGCTCTTTTATCCTCCAGGGGCAATGTTTCCCTTGGTTACACAGTGTTACATCTGCCAACCATGATAAACCAGTAGAATCTGGACTAGGATCTTCAGATGGGTTAATGATATTTAATAAGCAAACACTGAATTTATACCAGGATAATTGCAACACTGTATAACTGGTTTGTGTAGAAAATCAAACCATAGAGGAATCTCTATTCAGGTGGCACAACTCCACAAAATGCACAATAAGCTAAAAGTTTATTTTCAAGAAACTGGGCTTTAGGTTGTGATTTCTTGCTCCCTGGTGTATTTCATATTTTATAAGTTCAGGGTTTTGCTCTTTATGCAGCTGACCCAGATAACCAGGACTGGCCAGTGCTCATGGGAGAGCAAAAACATCTTGGCGGTGTCCTTTGCCCCCCTGGTCCAGCAGAGCAGAGCTGATGGGGAGAAACCTGACACTGTCGAGCTGCGTAAGTTCTCCGGCCTCAACAAAACTAAACCAAACCTCTGTGTTTTATTCTAACTGGTCCTGAAGTGTAGAGCAGGCAATATTTCAAAAATGATGTGACGAGACGACTCCTACAGCAATATTTGCTCTGACTTACGAAGCCCGCCCTGCAGCTGCTCCAAAGAGCCAGTTGCTTCCTTTCCTTGAAATAATGAGACGCAGTCCTCTTTTGATGGACTCACTTGTTTATGCTGACCTAGTTGAAGTGGAGTTGTATAGATTAATCTTATTTGTGTGGCGCATTGCCCTGAAGGAGTGTCATCTCTCTTTGTCCTCAGCCTCTTTGACTGTGCGCAGCCTTCAGGATCTGTCTCGGGTCTACATTCGCCGCACTCTCAGAGACCTGGACAGCGAGGACAGTGCGGGGAAGGAGGCGGTGCAGAGAGTTCCCCAGAAGCGCAAACGCAGGCGCTGCCAGCGGCGACGCATCAACACCTACGTTTTTGTAGGCAACCAGCTGATCCCCCAAATGGTGGAGAGTGAGGAGGAGGAACACATTGAGGAAGAACAAAAAGAAGTGGAGGACGAGGAGGAGGAAAGAGACATCGGCGAAATTGAAATCCTCAAGCAAGCGAACATGTTGAGAGACCAAATAATGGCTTTACCGCTGCCGGAGTCACTGAAAGCATATTTGCTGTTCTACAGAGAGAAATGACTGATTACTCCATGCCCACTCTTTATGAATGCAGCGCCTTCTGAATGCTTTTCTCACCCTTTTTCTGTACAAATGTAGCATTATTTCCATTAAATCTTGATGGCAAAACTGTAACAGAAAGAGACGTCATAGATAATATTGGATAATAATATTATGATTGTCACGAATCGTTCGTTTCTTTTGATTTGTATACAGTATATTAAAAACTGTCAAAAAAATATACTAAATGGTCAGTTTCCAAAACCCATTTTGAGATTCAGATTTTATTACAATTTCAGGATTTCTGCAGAAATGTGTAGATTAAAAAGTTCTTATTATATTTGTTAAAATAAGATCATACTAAGATAACTTTTATTGCAGCTTTTTTCCAGGAACTTTAACTATCGCTGTCTGGGGATTTAATGAGCACCAGAAAAGGATCGAAAGGCAAATTAGGCCGCCATATTCAGTTAAAGAGTAAGACATAATTGCAGAATCATTAATGGGGCACTTATGTTATTACTCTTACTGAGTTTTGGTTTTGAATTAGTGTGATTTGTACCTTCCTATTACATGAAATCATTGAGAGACTAGATTGGTTCTTCATTTTTTTCTACTGGGCAATTTTTGATGTATCTTTTTCTACAGGGTGTTTACATTAACGTGTGTTGTAGGCCCTCTCCTCTACATGGTTCCCCTTTACATTGTTAATGCAAATAGTATGTAACTTTATCATAACGGATGTTTGTCCTAATGATAAAACTGATGACTGGTGGTGGTTCACATGTTCAGCTTTGTTTAAATGAGACTGTTTATAGGAAGTCAATAATGCATGAATATACTGTAAATGTGTTGGGTGTTCCTAACTGTGCTTCACATCTTACACTTGGTCACTGGAGGTGATGTCCCAAGTGATTAAGTAAAACATTTTTTTTACGAAAAGCAGAAGTTGGAGAAGGATTTAAAGATTAATAATCATTTAGATTGCCTTGAGACAAATCTCAAATCTGTACTCAAATTAGTACTGCATTTTTTGTATAGACAGCAATACAAATCAAAGTCACTAAGGATTTTTGAAAGCCTTTTGTATCCTGGACTGTAGAAATGTCCAACAAAGCACCTTAGTCTGAAGTCCTCGAGTGAAAAAATAAATAATTTGTATTGTCGACTGATCTCCTAATGTAGATCCTGTTTAATCAAAGTACAATTTGCTTGCAGAACTTCCATGATAGTGGTGGCTTTTAAGTGCCAACGTCCCCCATCATATTAGGACTTCTGTGAGTTTTCTAGCACAGTAAATTTACCCAAGCGATGGTATATTTCTACAAACACATTCCACAGTGAAAAAATAAAAAGAGCAGCACATCACTGATCGATGTCACACTTTTTCTAAGAGCTTTATGGTCACAGACTCTAGAGATTTCATTCACCTTACTTTGAATGCTTCATTTAGTATTCCAAAAGCTGATTGTTGTTGATATTAATTCTATTTAATATACACGTGATATTAATGTGTTTTTATCATACGAATCTGCATTCAGTTTAATTTGCATTCGGTTTGTTGTAGCGCCCTCTTGCTGTACTGTATCTTGACACTGGGAACTCTGTAGATCAAAACTCCACTGATGTCTGTTCAATAGATACAATATAAGTGGTATAGGTCTTAATTTTGTTCTGCTGTAATGACAAATATTTTGTTTGAAAACGGGAGTGATTATTCTATTAGTAGTGTTTGTGTGTGAAGAGGTAACAATTATTTTCTGTAAGTTGTTTATTTTTTTATATTCATAGGAAAGCTTTGCAAGTGAGCCATAATGGAATAATCTTTCAGTTTATAATTACCAATAACAACAAAGTCCCATTTGATTTGCGTATTACCCATTAAAATGCTCATGACCAATTACAGGCATGCAACAATTTATATACCATCATCCAAAACGTAATTGCTAATTAGAGAGCGCTTTAAAGATTGCAAGCAGCGGACCTACAACCTCGACTCTCAGGTCACGCCTTGCACCAAAGTAAATGGGACTGCTATGATTACGTTTAATGTGAACGAGATTTGACTACAAGACTAGCACCGGTAAAGACCAAGTCATAATCGAGTCTGTGCTTTTATATTTGGTTAATTTGATGAGAGCCAAAACAGTTCTGTTGATAGGATAGATCATAGTGTGTGCAGTTCATTTTAATAATGTGTTGTTTCTCCATAAATGTTTGGCAACAAAAATAAAGTTCACAATCACATTACGCCTCTTCTAATCATTGCACTGCTCTTTTTGTGTCTTGTTGGAATAAGATGTTTACTTCCCCAAACGTGCTGATGTGGTCAAGGATTGAGTCATTCTTGCAAGCTGACAGGAAACACAAACAGTAGTGCAAGTGCAAATCTGACATCCTTGGCAAGCTTGTGGTCACCTTCTTTGTCACTGCTGATTTGAACTGTGAACATAGAGTTTCCATCTTGCATCACATTATGGCTTTTCTGACAGAGTTTCTGCAAAAATATTAAACAAGTTAACAGGCCTAATATGCAGGGGTGCACATAACTTTTTTGCCCTGGTTCTCAAAGGAGCACCTGGAGATGTTGCTTGGTGCTCATCCTTAAAAGGAAATAAATAAACCGGTCTTTATTTGTCAGACACACGGCACATAACACACAGAGGTGAACACAGAACACACAGAGGCGAACACAAGACAACATTAGCACGACCAGTAATACAAGCTGTCATCACTACCCTCCTGACTGTTCTCCTCACTGTCTTCCTCTCTGTCAGACATGGTAGCTGATGATGTAGGCCTACTTCTTTCTCTCTGGTTGAGTCTGCGATTAGCTGCTTGCATCCACAAGTCAACAGCTGGGTTTGGGTCGAAAGTCCAGTTTTAAAAGGATATGTTTGGTTACTGTCCTATAGTATACATTGGAATGATTTCAAACCTGTTTATCCCAATAATTATAAAGGAGTGCCTTGAAAATACGTGTTTACATAAATTGTGACCAAACAGTTTGAACTTAGACTAAAGTGAACTATCTAAACACTCAGAGTCCTTTACCTCACTGAGCTGTAGTTATCAGCCTCTCAGTCTGACTGGAGAGGACTCTCCCTCCACATCATTGTAGAAACATCTTCTTCTTCCGTTAGAGCAGCTAGCACCAGATTCTAATAACAACAGCGCCGGTACCGGTGCACCCTCCCTCTCTCCCTCGCTCACTCGCATTTTGGCTGTGAGCTGCGGGCGCCAGACAAGCCAACATCCCCCATTTTCATCACTTACAGCGCCCATCGTACAGGGCAAATGAAACGTGTAACCGGGGTGAAAAGGGTGTTACATTTACTTAATTATGAATGTTGTTACATCAAGGCCGAAAATTAGGATGAGCACCAACGGTCAAAAATGTTTTTTTTCCCTCCCAGAGCTGCCAGCGCAGCGCCTCCACAGATCTGGCGCCCTAGGCGAAAATCAACGCCAGTGCGACGGGCCGGCCCTGAGTTCATATGCAACTCGCAAATATCTTTCTCTCTCTCTCCTCTCTTCTCTCTTCTCTCTTTTCTCTTCTCCCTTCCTCTCTCTCAATGTTGGTACGCAAATGCGCCTTTTTTCAAATCACCCAGTGCTCTTTTTTTTGGCAGAGGTGCGCATGCGCACCTGCGCACCAGTTATGTGCAGCCCTGCTAATATGCAATTAACACCCAAGGCATTACATTTATAGTACTCTCCTGCGTTTGACAGAGGGAAAACAAAGATGTAAGTTAACATAAGTGCAAGATGCATGTTTGTTTGTTTGCTTTTGGCCTTTTGGGTATGGGAGGAGAGAGACGGCACAAAATGTGAGGATGTTGCTGTAAGGGCTCAGCCTTGGTAAAGGGGGTTCCTACTCAGGAGATCTACCTAGACACAACAACAAGATTTAAATGAAATACAATCTGCCGATCCCACTATTCCCCATAAGGAAATGCCAAATATATTTTGTAAGATGATGGCTTCCTACTAAGAAGATTCCATTTTATTGATATAATATAATTAGTGAAACTTAATATTTAACTAAAGTAATAGAAGAAAAATAGTATGATGATGACGACAATGATTATTTATAAAACGGGCCTATAAAACTAAAAACAAAACCAGAACAAATTCAGGCAACAAAACCAAGTGATATAAGGCTTTGCACATCACACCACAGACTTCCTCTCTTCAAACCAACAATAGGCAATTTTATTTTATAGATGGCATTCTACAATGACACTAAGAAGTATGTGCACACACAGGGCCGGCCCTTGGCATAGGCAGTATAGGTGAATGCTAAGGGTGCATCAACCCATCGGGGGGGCCAACAATTGGGGAGAAAAGAAAAGAAAAAGTTAGAAATGTAAAAAAAACACAATGTCCCGATTTTGGATCAACAAAGTACAGGGGGGGGGGGGGGAGCTTTAGAGAGCTCTCTCCTGATAGACTGAGCGGCTTTGAAACCTCAGGCACACCTTTATATGATCATTATAGTTATAAACAAACAAGAGAATAGATGAAAAACAGGTATAAAATACTATATGACAGCAAAAAAAAAGTTATTAATAAACAAAAATAGAGTTTAAAAGGGGAGTGATTTGTAAAATATCCATAAAGAAAAAGTACATCTGTTTACAGTTCTGTTTCAAATGGGTGTCGAGAGATGTATCCATAGATCTCTTCATTTTGCTCTCAAAGTGCACCAGATTGATGCTTTTAACTTCAATATTTAAAAAATAATAATCTTCCCGGGGGAGCATGCCCCCGGACCCCCTAGCTTAAATCATGTTCAAGTGGATAGGATACTAAATACATTTGCACACATCTGTGCACGTGCATGCATGCGCGAGTCACAGTGAGTGTCTGCATTTTTTTGGGGGGGGGCGCCAGCTAAAATCTTGCCTAGGGCAGCAAATTGCTCAGGCCCTGTGCACACAACTGATTATCATAACAACCAGGACAAAACTATAGAGGACAATAACACAAACAAAAATTGACAAAGAGAAAAAGTAGGACCCCACAGTGGGTGCAACAAGCGATATAAAGCCACATCAATTAAGTTACATGACACTTAGCCTATAGAGTAAACAGCTGCATAAAACATCAGCCTAGCAGACAGGGCAGACATTTATCAACATTTTAACAATTCATACTCCACAGCCAAAGCAGGGCACAAACACACATAGCCTACCAAGCAAAAGAGAGTTGCACAGTTTTTACACAACGCTCCATTGTCAACCGATGGTGAGAGATAAGCATATACTGTATACACGAGGTAAGTAAGTGCAAACACTAAAGTTAATAGTATTCTGAGACATTTTGAGAAACTTGGACTACTGTTCGTATTCTCTTCCACTTTATACTTCTACTCCACTGCATATCCGGGGTAAATATTGTTGCATTTACTCCACTTCCTTTATCCGACAGCTTTAGGTTTATTAAATTGTTTTCTTTTGTAACTTTACCTAAGTAACATTTTCAATGCAGGACTTTTACTTCTAACAGAGTATTACTGTGTGGTTAATATGCCTTCTATTTTTACTGAAGTAACATTTTGAATACGTCTTCTACCACTGTGCCTAAGTGTGTTGGGTCATCCTCTGGAGCAAGTTACAGTACATAGGTGGCGCTGTTAACAGGGCTAGGGTAAGTTGTGAAAAGTATTATTTACAATGGAATAAAAGGTGGCTAACAGCTCTATGAAAACTAAACCAGAGTGGACCTGGCAGTTGAGAACAGAAGAGAACCCTTCCTCTTGATTTAGCTCCCCCATACTTGATGCCCTAGCACCGGTGTTCCGGATTGACTGGTTCCCCGATCAACTGGTTGACAGATGTGGAGGCGTGGCCTCGACTGAAATACACATTTCGATCGCTTCTTCTGTCGTTTACATACATATTTTGGTATATTTGGCTGGATAGGAACACTTTGATGCACATTCAGTATGAGGTTGTGGTTACGATGGCGATATCCGGACGCGAACAGCGAGGACTACAAAAAGAAAAACGAGTTGATCGGGGATGTCTGTTCAAAACATTGCGAGCTCCAATAAATCATTTAAACCAGCTATTGTTGCCAGACTTATTTCTGAATATCGTTCTTAATGTGATACCAAGTCCATCTGAGACCTGTGTACACCTTCAGACAGCCTCCAAGTGAAGCACATGTTCTTTACTCACAGTTTGAAAGCAGCGTGGAGAAGTCTTCAGCTGTGTTAAGCTGTGATCGCTCGAATAAATCCTTAAAACCAGCTATTGTTGCCCGATTTATCACTGAATATCGTTCCTAATGTGATACCAAGTCCATCTGAGACATGTGTACACCTTCAGACAGCCTCCCAGTGAAGCGTACGTTGTTTACTCAGAGTTTGAAAGCAGCGTGGAGAAGTCTTCAGCTGTGTTAAACTGTTCCTCTCAGGTAAACTGTGATTCGCCCATGGGAAAATGGGATCCGCCCAGATTAAACTGTGTTACGACTTCTGTGGCTATCTACCAGCGATCATGTTTAATATGAAAGACACACACATCTACATGCCTTATAAAAACGGCATTCTGCAGCACTCATCCAGATAACATGTGACTGTTAACTCGTTTTGCAAAGATAGCAGCAGAAATGTCATTGCTGCATGTGCAGGGATATTAGACTTTAAAATGCTGATGGGTCATTAATGTTGGTCTCGGCAAACAATATTAGGAATCCTTTATTCAAACTACATAATATTCAGTGTCCATCGACATGAAAATAACAAAAAAGTTCATGCTGGACTCAAACCCGAGTCCCAACAGCAAAAGTCACTCCAGCCCTGCGCGTTATGAGTGCGCCACAGATCAACACGAGGTATCGAACCACCACACTATAATATTTTAGATTAACCTTAACACACTTATATGTAAAACTAACACTTATCACAACATAATGTGGGCTCGCAGGCTGATAAACTAGGATATCTGATCTCGGTGGGTCTTAATGAGGCTTGATACAGACCTCAGTCAGTAGGCTATACTATATTATAATATGTATATTATATGGCTTAAAGTGTACATTCGCTCACATTATAAATGATGGTCGGGTTGCATTTTTCTGGAACTTTTTAACAAGGTTAATCTAAAATATTATAGTGTGGTGGTTCGATACGTCGTGTTGATCTGTGGCGCACTCATAACGCGCAGGGCTGGAGTGACTTTTGCTGTTGGGACTCGGGTTTGAGTCCAGCATGAACTTTTTTGTTATTTTCATGTCGATGG